AAAAAAAAAAAAAAAAAAAAAAAAAACTATCCAGTACCGCCGCCGCCGGTAGGGTCGGTCCCCGAGAGCGCGACTGCCGCGGAGGAGGGTTCTTGCCCGTTGGCGCGCCGCCCCGCCTGAACTCCCTCCTTAGTGTGCCGAGCGGACGGACAGCAAGTCTGTGAGCTGCGCGAGCTTGGCTGCCTGCGCGGCTGACTGCTTGCCTCCCTGACCGCCTATCTCCCGGTGCACGTGGCAGTTGACACGTGTCAATCATTTAATCGATCTGCTCCTGGTAGGGTGAACCTGGTAGTTTGCCTGCTGCTCCAGGAAAGTGCTCCTTAGTGGAAGTGACAGCGACAGCGATGGCCCAGGAAAGTACTCCTGGCATGAAGAAGAAGAAAGCGAGGAAGCAGAAGGACACGGGGGAGGTCGAGCAGACGGCTATGGCGGCCAATGGCAATCAGACGGCTATGGAGGGCAATGGACACGACGGTGAAATTGTGGAAATGGAGGTAATTGCGAAGGGTGCGAGGTCTTCGAAAGGGAGGGGAATCTCTGAGGGAGGAGGGGGGGAGACGGCTATGGCGATCAAGAAGGACGAAGGCGGCTATGGCGTGACCGTTGAGGATGGATCGAAGGGGGAGGAGAAGAAGAAGAAGAAGAAGGAGAAGAAGAAGAACAAGAGGAAGGAGAAGGATGAGAACGAGGAAGATGGGCAGGAGGAAGAGGAGGAGGAGGAGGAGGATAAGGGAATGAAGGAAGACGGAGATGGCAGCAGAGGGAAACGAGCGAGAGCGACGGATCTAACGAAAGAGGAAAACGACCGTGGCCGCCAAGACGGAGAAGAAACGAAGAGAGAAAAGAAGGAGAGAAAAAGGGAGGAAAGGAAAAGATCGAAGACGCACACGAAGAACAGGGGTGAGGATGAAGAGGAAGGTGCGGCTATGGCCGCTATGGAGGATGTGTCGATGACGGATCAACGTGAAGACGGAGATCAGGAATCGACGTTGCTAGTAAACGGTGCAAAGAAGAGGAAGGACGGAGAGAGAGGGGAGAAGAACGAGACCGCTAACGGTGTGGCGGCTAACGGTGAGGCGGCTAACGGTGAGGGAGATAACGGTGAGGAATACAAGAAGGGGAAGAAGGAGAAGAAGAAGAAGAGGAAGAAGGCTAAGGAGGAGGATCTACAAGAGAAGAATGAGGAGAATGAGGAGGAGGAGGAGGAGGAGGAGGAGGGAGGGGGTTATGCAGGAAAGCGTGGCGGCGGGGGTAAATTGGCGGTGAAGGTCACCGCCGAATTGGCGCGCAGTAATGGCAAATCGAATTCGAATTCGAATTCGAATTCGAAGGCGAAGGCGAGTTTGGAAGATGCAGAGAAATTACGAAAGGAATTAGGTTTGACTTTGACTGGGAGCGGTGCGGAGCAGTTCCCGCCAATTCGCACCTTCCGCGAGTCCGGTCTTCCTGATGACGTCATCGCTACTTGCAGATCCTTCGAGAAGCCATCGCCGATTCAGAGCCAATCTTGGCCGGTGGTTTTGGCTGGTCGGGACCTCATCGGTATCGCGGCCACCGGATCGGGGAAGACCATCGCGTTCGCTGTTCCCGCGCTGATGCATTTGCAGAAAACGAAGAAGACAACGACGATGATGTCGAGCAAAACCTGGAAGAAGACCACGCCATCGCCGACCTGCCTCGTGCTCTCCCCGACACGAGAGCTCGCTCAGCAAGTACGTCTTCGCCTTCCCCGCCGGTTCTTCCCCTCTCTCTCTCTCTCTCTCTCTTTCTCTTTCTCTCTCTCTCTCTCTCTCTTTCTCTAATAATTAGTCAGGACAGGAAAGGCTTGTCATCTCAGGGGCGAGTGGCGCTTCTTCTCGGCCGTCGATTCTCTCAAGGGCCGTGCACACGTTGATGTCCAAATCTTTTTCGGGATTTTTTTGCCGACACCGCTCTTCGCGTTTCCTGACTGACTGCAATACCCTACTCTCGCACTCTCTCTCTCTCTGGGTATTGCTAATTGTATACCCTCTCTTGCTTTTTTCTCGCGTGTCTTTTCCTGCGTTCTTTTCCTTCCTTCCTTCCCTCTCCTCGTTCTCCCTGGATTCGATGAACCTGGACTCGATGATCGCGAATGCAATGGTAATAGGATCCACGCCTGGATTCAATGAACCTGGACTCGATCAGTTATCAATACTGTAATAAGGAAGGAATGGCTCAGGAATCCAGGGTTGGATCCAGGAATCGCCCAATTCCGATCCCGGATCCCGATCAAGGAGTCCCGATCTACCATCCGATCCACGAATGGACCCAGGATTAGAAATCGATCCAGGATCGGGAATAAGGTCCAGAATTCGTCCAGAATCCAACTGGTGGAATCGATCGAGGAATGATTCCGTGATCCTGGATCGATTTCTAATCCAGGGTCCATTCGTGGGAACTGTGGGATGGTGGGACGATGATGCAGGCTATTTCCAACATAAATTATTTTTTGCGTGCATTGCCGAATCATACTTTATTTCTGGATTATTGACCCACTCTCGTGTGACACCTGTCGGGACAGGGACGCGGTGCGCCTTGGCTGTGGAATTCATCATCTATGCCATCACCATTATCAATCTATTGTGGTGGCCGCCATCTGTGCCGAAGGGTGTCCAACATTTCCTCATTGTACACATCCCTATCACCCAGAGATTCGTTGTCCCTTTTGTGCGCAAGGATGCTATCAGGACTGCATGATGCGGCACTGTGCTGAACGTCCTGATGTTTTTTTTTACATGTGGACAACATGTCCTTTGTCAGGACTGTTTTGATGGGATGGTCCGTGCTAGCCGTCCTGCTGAATGCTGTGCTGGTGCAGCTCTCCTTGGGTATCCTTGTGAACATCCACATCATCATCGTCAGCGTGCCTGTCCTATCTGCAGGGGTGGGGGCTCCTCTTCCTGGCTGGTCAATAGAACCAAGCAGGTCAGGAGCAACACTAATTGCTGAGGTGAAGAAATAAGAAAGAGAAAAATGAAGAAAACGAAAAGAAGAAAAAAAAGAACAAACTGCTGAAGCAAAGAAAAACGAAAATAAGGAAAAAAGAAAAAATATGTTGAACTTCGTTGTGACAGTGGCAATTGGTTTATCTGTGGGATGTGTCATTTGCTTTGTTTGACTGGTAGGCCTTCCTCTTCTCTTGTCCTTTCTTTTACTGTATCCCTTTCTCTTTCTTTTGCCTCTGTGCGGCGTGGTTTCCTCCTCCTTTTCTTTACCTCTTTGCCTTTTGGCTCCGTGCAAGTGGGTCCTTGTGACACACGGGGATGGGGGCAGCCAGCGCTCAACCTGTCCTCCACGTGGCTAGCCTTGTACGTAAGAGGTGATGAACAGGCCGAGCTTTCCTTCCTTCTTTTCTTTTTTTGTTTTGTCTTTTTCCACCTTTGTGCCCCGATTCACAGTGTGACAATATATACACATATACGATGATATATTAATATATACACATATATTTACATATGTTATCTCTGTTTGACGACCGGCCTTGTACGTAAGAGGTGATGAACAGGCGGAGCTTTCCTTCCGTCCTTTCTTTTTTTTTTCTGTTTTTTTTTTTGCCTTTGCGCTCTGATACAGTGTGACGATATATATACCTATGCATAGGGTTCAGCCTCCTGATGAGTCGGTGAAACTCCCCTCGTTTGTTGTCCTCTTCTCCCTCTCTGCCTACGGTTTTCCGGGCAGCTCTGTTTGACAATGTTTGACTCTGTCGCAGATATTCTTGACCATCACACGCTGTGGAACAATCGCTGGGGATATGCACACAAAGACACATTGTCATATCTGTACTATGCACTTAAAGTGCACAAATCGCCCCCTGGGCTTCACAGTATTGTTGGCGTCACAGAGCGGAATAATCGCTCCCCACCGCAGCGATCTTGATCAACTGCATCGTCTGTTCATACAGGCCACCACCGACCTCCCTAGGAACCCTTGGCCAGTACTACCGTCACTTCTTCCCGCCTCAGCCTTGCACTACAAGGAGTCGTTAAAACTCTCCGTGAGAAGGATAATCTGTTGTATCAGCAATACGGTGTGAGACGGTGCTGGATCGTGCAAAGTGCCGAGGAGGTGATGCTTGATCTCAAACGGAATTCATCTTCTCTTCCTGACCATGCTCCTCGCACTGTTGACTTCACAACTATGTATACCAATCTTCCTCATGACCGTATTTGTCATAATGTATCAAAAGCGGTCGAGGACGCCTATAGATATGCCTTACAACAGCACATGCAGCGGCGCACACATCCTCCTATCCTTAACATGATTGTTAAAGGGCCCCGTCAAGGGGAGTGGACGGTTCATGCAGGACCCAAACACCTTCTCTGTCTCCCAAATTCTTGAACATCTCCGTTTTATCGTCACGAACATGTATCTTTATGCACCGGACGGCACCTTGCGACATCAGCCGATTGGCACCCCAATGGGGAACTAATTCTGGTCCGGAGATAGATGATTTGATGTTGTATTGGGATGAGGCTCGTTTTGTTGATGACCTCCAGCAGCCTGATCTTCGTGCAGCTAACAGTATGCGTTCACATACTGCTTGATTGATGATGTTCTCTCATGGGGATATTTGTCACCACCGTCAGAGCACTATGGCATTGAATGGAAGGAGACCATAGCGCCTGATGGCTCTTGCACATTCTTGGGTGCACGCCTCCAAGTCCGCCCTGACGGTTTACTGCGTATGAGTGTCTTCGACAAAGCAGCCTAATGGAATTTCCCTGTTATTCGTTATCCCAATGCTACGTCCAACGTCCCCGCACACCAGCCGGCGGGAGTGTTTACAGGTCAGCTTACAAGGTTTGAGTATGTCTGCAACAACTGGTATGATTTCAAAACTACAGCTGCGATGCCCACACACCGCATGCTTTTTCGCGGGCACTCTCCAACAACGCTTGCGAAAGGATGGACTTCCTATATTCGTACGCGTCAACACAGGTACCCTGCGCATGTGACCCGCCTCTCCAGCTGGTTCCACAGCATGGTCTATTCACCACCCAATTTCTCGTGTATCTACACGCTGCTCCCGGACTACGCCTGTCACAGCCTCTTCATTACCTGCGCTTGTCACATCTGTCACAACCTCGTCTTCATTACCTTCGCCTGTCGTACCTGCGTCCTCATCAGTCTTAGTAACCCCTTCCATGCCGTTTGTGACCCTGCCTGCCCCTTTTAGGTTCACATCTTATACCTCATTGGCCTTGGTTGCTTCTACGATTGATTCCGTGGGCGCAACTTGACCAGCGGCCGCTGTGCCACCTTTGGTCTCGGTGCGTTCCTCCATGGCATTCGTGGCCCTGCCTGCATTGCCACCTGTAGAGTCCCCTCTTCGGGTCTCACCTGTGACTGCCCCCCCCTGTCTCTGCTTCAACCACTTCACCACCCCCGTCTTCACCGCCCTTTTTTCCCTTGGTTTTGTCTCCTTCTGTTACACACCTTCCTACTACTCCACCACCCCCGTCTTCACCGCTCCTACCTCCCTTGGTTTTGTCTCCATCCGTTACCCCTCTTCTTGATCCATAAACCGCTTTGTACACACAGACTTCGTCATCCTATTCTCCGTCGGTCTCATCTGCCCCTGCGGAATGCCTACTTCGCCGTCCTGGACTCCGGCCTCGACTTACTCCCCAGCCTCAGCTTACTCCCCTTTCCTCCATCTCTGTTCTTGGACGAAGAAGAACCCGTTCATTCTCCCCATCATGGCTTTCCCCAACATCTCGTCCCCGTCTTTTGCTGCCCCCAACATCTGTACCACGACTACTTCGCTCTTCGACTGCATACCTTGCTGTAGCGCGACAAGCACAAAATAGGAGGGATGATGGTGCGGGACCATCTGAGGATGAACTTGGCAAGGGGACTGTAGGGGATTCTGTGGAAAATCCGTCTGAGCGACCTCCACCGAATCTGTGTGGCCTCGCTGCTACTAACATCGGCCTGCAAGCCCATCGTTGGGAACCATATACTCTCTCTGATTTCTTAGCCATTGCTTCTGATCTTGATGCTCGGGAGCATGAGTTATATGGCGATAACCGGATTCAGCATCCCCCACATAATAGTAACTACACTCGACATGGGGGATTCAATGTCTTTGTTCTGGAGATTGCATTGATAAGGCGCCAGCATACCCTTTCGGGTGGCGACCCGGACCATTGTTCGCACGTTTGTGCCTACATTCTACATACTCCTGGCCACTACACCGCTTTTGTGCGTGCCTCTGGTTGGGAATTATGGAATGGCGGTGCTATGGTGCAAACTATTACTGCCATCTGTGATCTCATGTAGCTGATCTGCAACTGTTCCAGGTTATTGACCCCATGGGTACCTTGTGTACTTCCATGTCTGCCTTTGCGCCCGTCTCTGTCTGCATCTGTGCCCGTCTCTGTGCCTGCCTCCGCACCTGTCTCCGTGCCTGTTTCTGTGTCTGTCTCCTTCCATGTTATTGACACTATGGGTACTTCGTGTACTTCCATGCCCGCCTCGGCGCCCGTCTCTGTGCCTGCCTCCGCACCTGTCTCTGCGCCCGTCTCTGTGTCTGTCTCCGTGCCTTCCTCCGTGTCTGTCACCGTGCCTGCTTCAGTCTTTATTCCCCCAGATGCTGCACTAACCCTTTGTGACCTCCTTTGTGTGGCCACTGACACTGTTACACCTGGCTGTGGAAAGCATCGACTTTGTCGACGTCACTACAACCATATTATTTTTCCGGCCCGCTGTCTGCAGGGATGCCACCTGTATCTGGATTGTGAACATTGTCTGCATCCAGATGCAGTATGTCCCATCTGTGCCTGTGGGCGCTATAGCGAATGTGCACTTAACTGTGATGGTGAATGCCCCATCGTCATGGCCTGCAACAGGCATGTCCTCTGCCATGCATGCTTCAGAGGTTGCAAGACAGTGAAAGAAGAATGCAGTAAAAGAAAGAAGAAGTTTGTGACGTTTTACTTTGTTTGTACCCTGCACCCTAACACCCTCAAAGAAAAAGTCAGAAGGGTGAAAATGAGAATAAAAAGTAAAGAAGGAAGTGCAGGTGCGCTGAAAAGTGAACGTAAAAGAAAGAAGTTGTGTCACGTTCCCTTCGCCTATCGGTCTACCTTTTCTGCTCCTCTCTTCCTTGTGTTTAACACCTCTCCCTTTACTCTGCCTCTTTCCCACAGCGTGCAAGTGGGCTGTTATGGCATACGGGGATGGGGGCAGCTCACACTCAACTTCATCAATGTGGCGAGCCTTGTATGTGAGAGGCGCAGTGGAGGAGGAGTTACGGTGATTTAGAAGTTGAATGATTTCAATGGGTCTTTGTTTTTTTATTTTTATCCTTTGTTCAGTGTATAAAAATTAAAAGACTGAAATAAATAAGAATACACTAAAACAAAGAAGAAGAAGACACTGTTTTCTGTCTTTCTGGTTTGTCTGTCTCTTTGCCTGTCTGTCCTTTCATTTTTTCATTTCTTCGCTCATCTTATTTCTTCTTCTACTTCATGTGTTTGCACTCTTAGTCAATAGTTCTGTGACAATATATATACATCTATGTGGTAATAGAGAACTGCCCGGTGAAGCGTACGCAAGGACGGAGATGATGACAACAAACGAGGGGTTGCGACAGACAGACTGTTTTGTCTGAGTTTCATCTCTGAATCATCAGGAGGCTGAAATTCACTCTCTCTGCAGTCTGCAGAGGTCCCCTAACTGGTGAAACTGCCTGTAAGTGATAATCCAACTGAACCCGGGTTATATGTTGCGGTTAAGAGTGAACAACCACCAACCACAGTCAATGCATTTGGATTTTTCAGGCCAGGTATATATCATATTATATTTTTTTATAACATATTACGTCATATATCTATATATTCATATATATTCAATTTTAAGGGCGACACCCTTGAGATGTCATCATAGAACAGACTGGTCCCACGTGATTGAGAGTTATTTTGCTTCACTGATTCCGTAAGGATTCGAGCTCAGGCCTGTTTATCAACAGTTGATGGCTGCGCCATTCACCCACATGGGACTGTGTATATGGCTGTTCCATAAGATTAGCAAGGCCCCTGTGAAAAATAAATAAATGAAAAGAAGTTAATTTCTCCTGACATCTGGATCGCCCTGCAGATGGATGACTCGTACAAGATTACCATGGCCACTGTGCGGCCCCCCAAAAGAAGAAAAGAAAAAAAAAGAAAAAAAAAGAGAAAAAAGAAAAAAAAGAAAAAAAAAGGAAAAAAAAAAAAAAAAGAAGAAAAAAAAGAAAAAGAAAAAGAAAGAAAAAGAAAAAGGAAAAGAGAGGAAAACGTTTTTGCTGAATTAGTGTTTTTTCTTGTGGTAGAGTCAAACATTCACCTGACCTGTAATTATTGCATCCTCGACTGTGATCACAGATTTCAGGTGTGTTTGAAGAAGCAGGAGCTCCGCTTGGTGTTCTCACGGTGTGTGTTTATGGCGGAGTGCCAAAGGGTCCGCAAAGAGACATGCTGCGCAAGGGAGCGGTATGCCCTTATTTTTCTTATCGTGTGTCTGCATCTTGCTGCAAATCTCGTCGTTGTGACATTGTTTGGGTTTCTTTTTCTGCCTCGTTCTACTTTTGCTTGCTCCCTCACTCGAGTTCCTGGCCTGAGCGAAGTTAGATGGGGCTGCGGGAGCTAACACATTTAAATTGATTTAATATATAAAATAAAGGGAAACTTGTTGAAATATCCCTAAAAGTTTGGGTATTTTGTCAGGTACCGCTAAAACATAGTTGTATGCTGAAATGCCCCAACTTCTGCATCTGCCCCTGGCCCACTCATTGGCAACTTCTCCATATGCCCTGGCCCTGGGCTGTAGGGGCCTGTGCATTTGTCTTGCCATCTGCGGGGTCCAACGACCTAAAATACGGGGGCATATAGACAAGTTGCCGGGGCCCGGTAGGGGTATATGCAAAAGATGACGGACAGGTATTCATTTGGCGAGTGGGGTATTTTGCAAAAAAAGTTTCACAACTGTCATAGGGGCATTTTGCCATACCCATGCCTTTTAGGGGTATTTGACAAAATACCCGAACTTTCAGGGGCATTTCAACAATTTTCCCTAAAATATATTGATGTAATTTAAATTGATTTGTAGTTACCTGCAAAATTACAGACTGAGAAAACTTCTGTTTTCTGAGTTTTGCCACTGGAACGTGCGTCTTGCTTAATTTCCTGCTTTTCGCTGAGATTTCTAAGTCTGTGTGTGTGCGTGCTGGCTGGTTCCCGTGTGCCTGTCTGAGTGCATGATTGCTCGAGTGTGTGAGTTTGACTGGCCAGGCTACTTGTAGTTATAAACACTCAAGTACCGGGTACGGTAGAGGTTTGAAAACACTTGAGTAGCGGTAGGTAGGCAGAAAAGGACAAATAAATATTACCTTTAGAGGCCTAAGGGATTTTAGAAGTCCAGTACGCCTAGGTCTAGGGGTACCAGTCCAGTAGTCTGAGTCTAGGGCCTGTGGCGGACAATATCAGACCTGCAATGATGTTTCCCTCGGAAAGGAGGCAGGTACCGGTAGCTGGGAAGCCGGCTGGCCTGGAAGTCACCGTCCAAGGAGGCAGCTGCCCGCTGTATCTTGGGAGAGCACTCATTGCTCCTGTTCATTATGCGGTGTGCAAGTTTGGTGTCACACTGCTGGAGCAATCGCTGGCCAAGCCCAGCGCTGGGAGGTAGAAGGAGACCTGGCGCTCCAGCCTTGGCTATGGTGGAGCAGCTCAGGTAGGAGGAGGAGGAGGAAGAAGGGGGCTAGGAGGAGAGTGACGGGGTACCTACCTGGCTATCTTAGACAATATCTTGGTTGGTGTTGCACCTGGAAGGCCGCAGTCGCGGTGCGCTGCTGCGAGAAAAGGCTTTCAGGGCAGAGTTAGGCATGGCGGTCTGAGCAGGAGAGGCCTTATCAGCTTTTGCATTGTATTTTGAACATCGGGGCAAGGCCTCACGAGTCTGCCATAGCCACCACCAAGAGAAGACCGAAGAAGGTGTAGGTCGTGGCTATGGTGGACCTCATCTACTGCTGGCAGTACGCAGGAGATTCGAACATCGGTTCTGGTTCAGTCTTTCATTGTTATAATTATTTTTTATTGAATGAAAGGTTGGGGGAGATAAGGAGGATGAAGTGAGTTGGCGAGTTGATGGGGGATTTGTCATTGGGCTTTGCCGGTGTACACATCTCCTTCTTTTTGTTTCTTTCTTTGTTCTTCTTCTTCCTATGTCGATTTCTCTTTCCAAGTTCTTTCATTTATTTGCAATTGAACGGCATTGTCTTTCTTTCCTTGTGTTATTGCACTTCGGAATAGCCAGGATCATAACAAATTTAAAATAATTTGATGTAATTTGATTGATTTAAAATGAATTTATGTAAAATAAATTGATTTCATCAAGGGTTTTCTTCTTTAGCATGAAATGAGCATGATCTCGTTATTGTAATATAAATTAATTTAAAATTAATGTAACATTAATTTAACATTAATTTAAAATTAATTTATGTAAAATACATTGATTTCATCAATGGGTTTCTTCTACTTGTGGGGAGGGGGTTCCTCCCCTCCCCCACCACAGCAACCCCCCCCCCCCCCCCCCCCCCTCCTCTTCCCTTTTCCTGACCCCACTTCTGAGTAGCTAACCCCTAAGTAAACCCCAAATCGCTTGACTCCAAAACGGACAACCACGGGAGAGAGAGTAAGACCCTAAATAAATAAATAAATAATACCCTAAATTGAAATTCTCAATAACCTTGAATAACACTTCAGGAGCCGGGATTGCAAGACCCCAAAATGCTAAACCTTGCAAGGAACCTGACTGAACTTCACTTGCTGGAGTGTACCAGGTAGCATGCATGTAATACAGATCACGCAGATTGTGTTGACTCACACGAAATTCATCAGAGAATGAGTGGTGACCAGGAAACACAACTCAATTATCAAACCAGATTGAAGAAAGAGAATCACGAGTTCAGAATGAATAGCACCCAACAGAATTACAAGTCCTCTTCATCCAACATGAGTTCCAAGCCTGGCGTTCATCAGCGCCAGCAGCTGTTCATCCAGTACAGAGCTCAACAGGTAAGTTTCACCATAACTCGCTTCCCCCTCGCTTCTCTCTCTCTGTGTCTATACTTCTGGTCTACTCTCACTCACCATGCATGCGCACTCCCTATCACACGAGGATCTACTCTGAATACTACTCACTGGACTCTTCTATTAATTATCCCTACTAATGAACTAACTGGCGTTGGCGCAGCTATGGCTGCCTTCCTTCCAGCCAGCGTCCTTCTTCTCTCTCTCTCACACTTAGCGCTGCTCACAGCCTAGCGCAGCTCACACGCATCTAGCGCACAAGTGCCACGACACTTCCACACTTCGATGCGAAATGAGCATCTGCCCTACGAGGAGGCTGGCCAGTCCTTTATAGCGCTGGACTGGACTGGCGAGGTCTGAACTCGGGCTCCAAGTGTCTGGGACTCCTGCCCAGTACCTGTTGTTGCAAAGTGTGTGTCCCAGTATCTTTTCCCATGGTGTGCTGCTGCTTGGGCCAATGGTCTGTCCTTTGGACTTCTGGTCTGAATCAGGACTGACCCGTGGGACTGTGACTGGACTGGGACTGTGGCTTTTGACTTATTGCCGAACAGACACGACTTATCGTCGAGCAGACATGACCCTAACTCAGTCTTGAAATCTTTGTCCTAAACCTGCTCGTCCAGGACCTGCTCGTGACTGTTCAAAATGACTTTTCAGTTCGTTATGGATGCGGTATTTGCCTCAGGAACTTGTCTTTTGGAATATTGCTCGTGAAATTGAGTTCAGGCCGAGAGGGCCCTTTTCATGCAGGGGTCACTTTTACGGGCCTGAATCGTAAAGGCCCTTGCACTCTCGCCGGCGTAATTTCGAAGTCCTCTGAGAAACTCTTATCTGTCCACAACATTGACACCTTTTCTTGCTCTTTCATAGTAAGATACTATGTTTGGTGCGGTTTCCATTAGCTCATCTCTACTGAACCAGCGGTCTTCACTTGGATCTTGATATGCAAATCTGACTTTATATTGCCGCTGAGGTCTACCTCTACGTCCAGTCTGGATAGTACTTTCAACAACGATTTTATCAACATCAAATTTTCCATCCATACTCGGAGGAATTGCTGATCTACGACTGGGGATACAACTCGTTAGTTACACAAGGTAGGAGCTTTGACGCATGGAACACCGGGTAGGTATGCAAGTGTGGGGGTATTTCAATAACATAGGAGGGTCCATCTACATCCCCTGTCACATCCAATACTTGCCACAGTCCTCTGTAGGCAGGTAACAATTTTTGAGATATGTGCTCTTCTGGGATACACTCTTTTGATTTTACCCAAACCAGATCGCCTACAGCAAACTGAGAAGGTCTCCTGTGCTTATTGGCCTCATGCACATTAGTTCTTTCAAACAACAGTCCTTGGGTTACTCGATAGTTAGGAAACTCTTGTGGCGCTTCTTGAACACGTTTCAGCATAGCGCCATAAACAGGATCAGTGGAATAAGCATTCCTAATCTTATCTTGAACATCAATGGCTATGTCCAAGTAGGTTACAATAGTACCGAAAAAGTCAGATCTTCGACTTAATGCCTCAGCAACAACAGATCTTCGACTTAATGCATCAGCAACAACGTTATACTTACCCTTTACTGGCTTTAGTTCAAAGTCATATTGATCGATTTCCGCAGCCCACCTAGTCAGTTTAGGTGTCATTCGGGCTTCCGTTTTCAGCCGGCGGAGTGTCTCATGATCTGAGTACACTTTGAAGTGGCGACCTAAGAGGTAATGACGCCAATGGTCCAAAAATTCCCGAAGTGCGTACAACTCTCTTTCATATGCGGAAGCGGCGACCTTCTCACTAGGCAGTCGTCGGGACATAAATTCGACAGGCCTATATCCATTCCCATCGTCTTGCTGAAGTACGACGCCTATCTCGTACTGACTGGCGTCGGTAGTAACAACAAAGGGCAGAGAAGGATCAGCTACTTTTAAAACCGGATAGTTAATCAAACATTTCTTTAGACGCTTAAATGAAGACGTCGAGTCTTGATCCCACTTCCAGATGGTTTCCTTTTTCAACAGTCTGCGAAGGGGAGCAACAATTATCGTAAAGTGCCTTACGAATTTACGGTAGTAATTAGCCAACCTAAGGAACGACCGTAGTTCCGTCAATATATGCGGGTTGGGCCAATCCCGAATAGCTGCAATCTTTGCGTCTTGCGGTTTGATACTGTCTCCATCCAGTACATGCCCTAGATACAATACCTGACGCTTTGCCCATTCACACTTCTTGGGGTTCAATTTCAACTTTGCTTCACGCAATTTACTTAGCACAAGTCGAAGGTGTTCACAATACTCACTTAGTCTTTTACTAAAAATCAAGATATCATCTAGATATATAACAACAATTTATCAAGCCATTCACAAAAATGCTCATTCATTGTTCGTTTAAAAGTTCTAGGTGCGTT